CACACACACACACACACACACACACACACACACACTAGGAACCCCTATGTTCCCAAGGGACCGCCAGCAGCCTCCAAAACCAAGGTGAAGGAACAAATCAAGATCATCGTGGAGGATCTGGAAATTAGTCTTGGGAGACCTGAATGATATTGCCAAAGGTGAGAGGCGCCAAGTCAGAGTCGCTGTCCTTGATCTTCCTGGGGTTCTGGTTCCAGTTTTTGCTTGAGACCTCCAGATATCCAACTCCTGGTGAACTACAAAAAGATGCCTGCATATGCATCCTGAGAATAGTTGTTTTTGCACTTAAAAAAAAAATCTGTAAGAATTCTAATTCTTTTATTGGCAATGTTATGCTTTTATCTTTTGACATAAACTAACAGTGACCTTTGGAACTTAAAAATTAAAAAGTGGCTGGATCATCATGTCAGTCCCATATGGAATTTATTTTTCTTTTGTACTTTTAAAATTGTAACTAAGGGAGAGAGAGCCTGGGAGGAATAGAGAGGGCAGAGGGTGGGAGGGTATGGGAGGGGGCATGAGGTGAGAAATGATGGTGGGATGTGATGGAATAATGTGCATGTATGAAGACAGGAATTGGTGTGAATACACTTTGTATACAACCAGAGATATGAAAAAATGTGCTCTACATATGTAATAACAATTGTAATACATTCCGCTGTCATATATAAATAAAAATTATAACTATATTGTAAATTGTAACTAAAATGATTTTTTTAAATTATTCTTTTATCTTTACATAAATTATTTACCAACAACATTAGACATTTGAAGTTTAATTTTAAAGTTGCATTATTTGTAGATATCTGGAATTCAGTCATTTGAATTCATATAGTAAAGTTGATTTGAACATACATTAACTGCTTGAAACATTCAAATAATTAGTAATAAAACTCAAATTTGTGGAATTACCCGGGCCGCGGGTCCCCGCGGAGCATTGAGCATAACGGTCGGGGTAGCGGAGGCTGGGAGCTGGGCTCGAATGCCAGGTCGGCATTCGGGCGGCAGCGTCTGCTGCTTCCAGCATCTGCCAGGCGGGGAGCCGGACGAAGGCAGCGTGCCCCTAACCCTGCTGCGCGGGGAGCCCGGGCTGCACTTGGCGCTGGTCGCCGAGGACCTCAACCACCTGGCGCAGGAGTCCTGCCTCAGTGACGAGAACTGTGATTTCAGCTCCGCCTAGAAGGGGTCCTCACTGCGCTACTACATTAAGGGCGAGAGCGGCGGCGGCGGCAGCGGCAGCACCCCGTCGCTGCTGCTGCCGCAGCAGCCGCCGCTGGTCGCGACGAACTCGGGGGGCAGTGGGGCTGCGGGAATGGGTTTTGAGGAGAGGAAGCAAACCCGGCCCGGCGGCCCAGCAGCCCGACACCGCTACGAGGGGGTGACGGAGCTTGGCCCGGAGAAGTTTCGCTGGTTCTACAAGGAAGACAAGAAGACCTGGAAGCCCTTCATCGGCTACGATTCTCTCCGCATCGAGCTAGCTTTCCGGCCCCTGCTGCAAGCCACTAGCGCTTGGCCCCAGCCCGAGGGCCCGGATAACCAGCATGTGTGCGGCCGGACTTCCCCGCTGGACCTGCCCTCTAGCTCCGAAGAGGAAGAGGAGGAGGACCGCGCCTGTGGCTTCTGCTTGAGCGCGGCTGGGCATGAGCCCCAAATGGAGGAGCTGGTGAACATTGAGCCGGTTTGCGTGCGCCGCGGCCTCTATGAGGTGGATGTGACCCAAGGAGAGTGCTACCCGGTGTACTGGAACCAGGCTGATAAAATACCAGTAATGCGTGGACACTGGTTTATTGACGGTACTTGGCAGCCTCTAGAAGAAGAAGAAAGTAATTTAATTGAGCGAGAACATCTCAGATGTTTTAGGGGTCAGCAGATGCAGGGAAACTTTGATCTTGAAGTGTCAAAATCCTTAGACGGAAAAGATGTTGTCCACCACCTCCCTCCCTTCTCCCTCCCTTTTCTGTTCAAATGGAGAGGATATAAGGAGAGTACAGATGCAGCAGGTCTTAAAAGAAAGCGCTCCCAAGCTATTTATAGTTTCAAATTGAGTCCAAACCACGTGGACTGGCATAGTATGGATGAAGTATATCTTTATAGTGATGCGATCACATCTAAAATTGCAAGAACAGTCACCCAAAAACTAGGATTTTCTAAAGCATCAAGTAGTGGGACCAGACTTCGTAGAGGTTATGTAGAAGAAGCCACAGTAGAAGACAAGCCGTCACAGACTACCCACATTGTGTTTGTTGTGCATGGCATTGGACAGAAAATGGACCAAGGAAGAATTATCAAAAATACAGCCATGATGAGAGAGGCTGCAAGAAAAATAGAAGAAAGGCATTTTTCCAACTATGCAACACATGTTGAATTTCTGCCTGTTGAGTGGCGGTCAAAACTTACTCTTGATGGAGATACTGTTGATTCCATTACTCCTGACAAAGTACGGGGTTTAAGAGATTTGCTGAACAGCAGTGCAATGGACATAATGTATTATACTAGCCCCCTTTATAGGGATGAACTAGTTAAAGGCCTTCAGCAAGAGCTGAATCGATTATATTCCCTTTTCTGTTCTCGGAATCCAGACTTTGAAGAAAAAGGGGGTAAAGTCTCAATAGTGTCCCACTCCTTGGGATGTGTAATCACTTACGACATAATGACTGGCTGGAATCCAGTTCTACTCTATGAACAGTTGCTACAAAAGGAAGAAGAATTCCCTGATGAACAGTGGATGAGCTATGAAGAAAGACATCTTCTTGATGAACTCTATATAACAAAAGGACGGCTGAGGGAAATAGAAGAATGGCTGCATGAATTGAAGGCAACGTCCGTAACACAAACACCTGCCTTAAAATTTAAGGTTGAGAATTTCTTCTGTATGGGATCCCCACTAGCTGTTTTTTTGGCATTGCGTGGCGTCCGCCCAGGAAACACTGGAAGTCAAGACCATATTTTACCTAGAGAGATTTGTAACCGGTTGCTAAATATTTTCCATCCTACAGATCCAGTAGCTTATAGATTAGAACCATTAACATTGAAACACTACAGCAACATTTCACCTGTCCAGATCCACTGGTACAATACTTCAAATCCTCTACCTTATGAGCATATGAAGCCAAATTTTCTCAACCCAAAAGAACCTACCTTAATTTCAGAGAATGAAGGCATATCAACCATACCAAACCCTATGACCTCACCAATCTTATCCTGCCGACACTATGGAGAATCTATAAGTAATATAGGCAAAGCAAGCATATTAGGGGCTGCTAGCGTTGGAAAGGGGCTTGGAGGAATGCTGTTCTCAAGATTTGGACATTCATCTGCATTCCAGCAATCAGAGACATCAAAAGACTCAATGGAAGATGAGAAGAAATCAGTTGCTTCTCCTACTTCCACCGCAGCAACCCAGACTCTTCGACATAACAGTTCTGGCTTTCTTGATTCTGCATTGAAATTGGATCACAGGATCGATTTTGAACTCAGAGAAGGCCTTGTGGAGAGCCGCTATTGGTCAGCTGTCACGTCACACACTGCCTACTGGTCATCCTTGGATGTTGCCCTCTTTCTTTTAACTTTCATGTACAAACACGAGCAGGATAATGATGCAAAACCCAATTTAGATCCAATCTGAACTCTTGAAGGACATTAATGATCCCAAACTGATTTTTTTTTCTGTTAAAATATGTGTGTCAAGATATGAAGATTTCAGGGTTAAGTATGTTCCAGTTTTGTTTGGGGCAAGAAATATTTGAATTTAAAAGCACTTTGTTAAAAAAAAAAAAACATTTTCAGTTCTAAAGAAGTTACTTACAGTTCCATAATTTCGATTATGAATCTGATAGAACTCCCTGGAGAGAAGCAAGCAAGACCTGGAAGTGAGGAAGGTTTGGGTGAACTGCATGTAAAGGTTATAAATTACAATAGAATTTCTCCAAGATCTAAAATCATATTAATGGGTTGAATCTAATGTATTAACCAAAATATGTTATAAATCTAAAATGTTCAAGGTTCAATGTAGTCTGTGTAAAGATTACAGTGTGGTATATCATTGTTTTAAATTTCTATGAAATCTTCCATTTTCACAATTTCTTTGAAAGAAGAGAAACTAATGCTAAGCAATATTTGAACTATTATATTTATAATTTATGACCTCTGACTAATTGCTTTATTTCAGTGTATGAAACATTACATTTTTTAATGTTTCCTTTGAATTAATTTAAGAACCACATTTAGTTTCTGTAGTGTTAAGACCCTTTTTTCCCTCAGAATTCCATCTTTGTACTCTTCAGATGAACATATAGACACTGTGGCATTTTTTCAATATTTTTTTCATTAAAAACTTGTGTTTCATAAAAAATAAATAAATAAATAAATAAAACTCAATCCAGTACTTACTCTTATCCAGTAAGAAGGACTGTTAATATTAGCATCTTTTTATGAATAATTTTTGTTATAGTTATATAATTAGTTATAATTGGACTTTATATTAGAAAAACAGCATTTCTAGTTTTATTCTGTCCTCATAATTAATTAAACCTCAAAAAACTTGAGTTTTCAGACTAATCTGATTCATTTTGTCTTTACACAATAATGAAAAAGCTTCAATGTAATTCAGTATATTTATGCAGCACCTACCATGTTTCAAGATCCATGCCATCTTTTTACTGTTACTAAGATGAATTGCTGTAGTGTATGGCCTCAGTGAACTCAAAACTTTAATTGGAGTGTTTATTCTGTTTTTCAACATCAGCAATATAAAAAAGCATCAATGCATTTAGCAGCCATTCTGACTAAAAAATGGGCTTAGGGAGAGAAAGCAGACCCTTGAATAAGATCAGTACATGTTCACTTATACACCAGTACTTTCCATGCATTTAGTAGCATGGTACTCCTTGGTAAAGCTTAAACAGGCCTAGAATATGAATTTTAAAAACTTATAATTTATCCAAGCCATAATTAGCATAAATGGATCAATACCATATACAGGAGGTAAAATATCCAAATGCTATGACTAAATATTAGAGACTTCTGTGGAGGGTAGGTCCTTTACAAAAATGAAGCAAAGGAAGATTTTGAATCTGTCTTTGTGGTGTGAATAGTGTTTGAAGAGTTAGAAAAAAAGGAATGAATAGAAAACAGCTGTGGAATACCAGATTAACCCATGTTGCTTTTCTTGTACATTTAAAAAAACAAAAGAATAGTGGTGAAACTCTTTGAGTTTTAGGTATAAAATTAACCATTTCTGGTGTAGCAGGTGCTGGTGATCCTTTTCCACTAAGAAATGTAGAAACAAAGCTATTGCGTTTTAAAAATAGTTAAATAATCCAGCGCAGCGTCTTTAGTAGTAATTTGCCTGTTCTTTGTTGAGAAACTCACTGGTAAGCTGTTTTGCCTCAATTTTGGTGTTATTATGGAATCACAGATCACATTGTTTGGAGAGAGATTGTAATATCTGAAAACAGCCTTATCTGAAATAAAAGTCATTGTTACTTTAGGTTTGATTGTAACCTTAAACTTTTCTTGTTGCATTTCATTTTACAACTTTAAGTAATAGGACTATTATATGAGTTGATCAAATCTGAGTGTGTGTGTGTGTGTGTATTACATACATATTATATATATATATATATATATATATATATATATATATATATATATATTTAAATGTGTGTGTTTTTTAGAAAAGCTTTGTAAGAAGACATGATTCTTATGGAGGACCTGTTAAAATAAGTCTGTCAGTGACCTAGAAACAGGAATTTGCCCCCCGTGGCCATGGGTGTACAGATGTGTCAGCATTGTGGCTATGAACTAGAAATTACCCACGAGTTTTCATGTACTGTCAGAAAACAAAACAATTTAAACTTACTAATTTTTGAAAACTCTGATGATCTACAGGAAATATCTGATTAATGATTATCTACAAAATATTTTTACTTTTAAATGTTGCTTCTTTTTAATGGTGTATCCACTTTAAGTTCTGTGGTTTATTGCTCTGGGGAATTCAATGGTGTTTTTATTTCCAGACATATAAACTAATTACTAAATGAATTATAGAAAATAATCTCTGGAGTATTTTCCAAGTTCTGAAGTTTTGAGTGAATGGAATTTAACAGTTCATTTAATAGTAGGAATAGCTGTACTTTTACTACTCTATACAAGTCTATCTTCCAAAACTGAATTATATTTAACAAATACTAAAATTATATTTCTTTTTGAGAATGGAAAGATATGAGTATTCCAAAGGAATTAAATTTGCAGACCCAAAATTCAGTCAAAAAATGTTAATATTATAGGAAAGAACTGGTATTGATGATATTTGTTATTCTTCCTTATAGTTTGCAGTTCATGTTTGAGGTAAAGGTTTATGTCTAGAAAAACTGAAATAACTCAAATTATGCACCTATGTTCAATGACTCAGTTATGATGATGTTTGGCACACTGTAAATAGATTTTAACAGATTACATATGGCATACTTGTCCAGAAAAAGCAAATTTTGTAATTCATAACTGGCTCTCTTCTGTTTTTCTACAATGAAAGATAATATAACATATTGGTATTATTTGCTCTTTTATAATATCAAATCTTAGCCTAAGATTTCAAACTGCATGGTTATTTGCTGGAAAAAAAAATAGCACATTAAAATTTATTTTCAAATCAATTGCTTTCTAACATCATTGGTTCTTAATCACAACCCCCATCCCTACCACCCTTATCTTGGGTAGGTGAAAATAACTCTAAGTGGAAAGTGATTGTCCCTTTAACATTTTTTTAGCTAGTTGCTTGAGGTCCAGTTCCATAATTTTCGGCATTTAAAGTCCTGGCTCTATGAAAACATTAAAAATAAATGCAGATGGCATAATCTGATGTTTTTATCCCAGGGGGCAATAATTTACTTCACTTAGAAGAGCCCTAGTGCATATAATCTCCAACTGGGACAGAAATGTGCATATGTAAATCTCTCTCTCTCACACACACACACACACCCACACACACACAAACACACACACACACACACACACACACACACACTTCACTACTGTTCAAAACTGTAGAATGTTTTCCACACTGTTTTGCTGTTTGTTTGTTTTTTTTCTTAATATTTTGAATCAGGGAACATCACTACATAGAGGGACAAAATGTTTCTGGAGCTCACTGTAAATAAAGTATATTTTCTTAAAACTTTTTCTATGTGGTATTAATTCATGAATTATGAAATGTATATTGAATTCCTGATATGTGTGAGTCCTGTGTTGTAAACCCTAAAAGAGACAAACATGAATAAGCTATAGGACTTGCTCTTTATGAATGTCACCTCTCCTAGGGTGAACTTCCCAGCTTCAGGGAAGGGTTTTAGAGTTAAAGCAGTGTAGAATGTGTAAAGGACCGTGCTATGTTGTACAATACAAAGATAGAAGCAGCATTTATCTTACCACCTGTTTTAATTGATTTCTTAGAATGAAAAATAATGAATTCAAAACTTTGCTTAATAATATGTGTAATAACTCCTGTAGTACATTGTCATTCAGGGATGTGAAGGCAAGCCTTTCACAGATATGTTGCTTTGTTATTCTATATTAGTGAAATCCTGTTACTATGTAATTTCAGTACATATTCTAAACACTAGAATCTACCTTTATGAAGCAAATCTCTCCTGGTGAGAATTTCTATTACCAAATAATGAGAATGCATTAGAAAACAATCAGCAGTTGCTGTTCTTTTTAAAATTTGTTAAATCATTAATGTTTTAGACATATTCTAACAACTGATTTTTCATAGGTGGATGATTTCTATCATTTGTTAATTTGAATAAGATGTGAAAAATTATGACAAAATTACTAAAAAGGTAACTAGGCCTTTTACATTTCTATGACAATGATAATTGTACAGCTCAAATGTAATTAAATGAATATAGCTGTAATTTTAAAGCCCAAATATCAGATATTTTATGCCTACTGAATTGAATGTAGAATACAATATTTATACTTTCTCTGTATTGCAAAGATTGATTTAAAGATATTTTTATTACTATTATAGTTACACATAATTTGGGGACTCATTTTGACATATTCATAAATGCATATAACAGAATTTGCTCCATTTTGATCCCTAGTACTACTTCCTTCCTTTTCTTTCTCTCTCCTCCTGAACTTCTTTCTCTATTCTATTGGTCTACCTTCTATTAATTTATTTTAATTGATGTACTATTGTCATTCATAAAAGTGAAATTCATTGTGATATATTCATACATATGCATAGCAGAGTTTGGTAAATTTGATTCTGTAGCCCCTCCCCTTTCCCATTGTCCCTCCTCCCCCTCATTACATTTCTGCTACTCCATTGTTCTCCCTTTCATTTTCATAAGATAACCCCTCACTCTTTTCAAATTCCTTATATCCTCTAGCTTATACACATACAGGGAAATTTTTGATCCTTGACTATCTTGAGTCTGTCAAATTTCACTTAAAATGATGTTGTTCTCCATTACCACCCATTTATCAGCAATAACATAACTTCATTCTCCCTTGTAGCTGAGTAAAACTCCGTTGTGTATATATACCACATGTCCTCTATCCATTTGTCTACTGAGGGACAAGTTGGTTGGTTCCATAACTTGGCCATTGTGAATTATG